CAAATCCGATGATAGCTTAATTAAATTTATTTTATCAACATAAACACTCCAAAGTTCTGGAATTTTCCACAGAAATACTCGTACAAGTGTTTAGAATATCACTAAGTATAATCAGTAGTTATGCTTCAATCTAATAAGAACGTTAAACACAACGGAATGCAAAACGCATCTTAAGAGAAAGTTAACTCAGAAATATCTCCAATCTCGCGCTGAAATTAACAGCTGGCAACAATAACAACTTATATAGCATAAATAATGTCATAAAAATAGTGTGGTAATAATGAGATTATTACTTTGAAACCGGTGTTTTCGAATTGATGCCCAAGAAAAACCAATATTTCCCATTCTGCTTCATTGCATATCTTTCAAAAAAGTAAAAAAATCATACAATTAATTTCCTTTATCATTTTTTTTTAAATGCGAAAAGTTTGTTTTATAAGCTGTGAAAATGATGGAAGTTTGTAACAGATATATTTTTAGATATGAAATTTTAAAACTAATGGGCGTCAAAAAGTCTAAAAATATGAACGATTTTCAAAAATTCTCCCAAAATATTTTTTTAAAAAAATTACGCTAAAAATTTCATTTAATTTTTCCCCCTCCACAGTGTGTTATGGTGCAAACTGTAATATTCTGAGATTCTCAGTTTATTTGTTAATATTTGCAGAAAGTCGTTTCAACTTTAAATTTGAAAAAAATCTAATCCTCTAAAAATCAAAAGCGTGACACCACATCCACAAGCAGTGTATGTACAAAGTTTTTGAGTTCTATATCTTATCGGGGAGCAGTTTAAAAATCCATAATCATCTTTTAACAATAGCCACAAGCACCAAGAGTGAACTAAATAACAGCTTATAAAATAATAATAATAATTAAAAAGCATATATTTTTCAGGAACCATTACGAAATTTCAGGCACCAGTTGCGAAAGTACAGATTACAAAATTAACAACAGTAAACAGCGTTAAAAAATGTGTAAACAGTATTAGAAATCTGCCAATTCGGAGACGTGATTGTTCACAGAGGCTTAGATGTAAAGGGGAAGGAAGACGGTGGTCTTCTGAACGGGTCCTAAAGACGAAACTCTTTCATGTCTCCTTTTTCTCCCCTTGCTAACGGCAGCTGTGCGAAGGAGCGTTGCATGTGAACGGGGCTTATGTGTACTGCGCCTCAATTAAAATCATCACCTTCTTTTCAAAAATTGGCAGAAAAGTATAAATAAGCACTATTTATATTTCAGTTACGGAATTTTTAAACAAAACTGGGAGAAAATATGCATAATTATTATTAAAATAAAGGACAGCAATATAAAATTACAGTAACCCTAAAAGACACATAAATTTATGCAGCAGATGATACGAAAGTGTTCAATAATCACATAGAAATAAATTATTTTGAAGTTCACTTTGGTGGCAACTAATGTTGCAGCTGTCTTCCGCAAGTCGAATTAAGTGTAACTTAAATCATTAATTAATATTTTTACTTTTATCTACATATTGCCATTGTAATTCCAAAATTTAGAAGGATGAAATGTTTTTTTTTAAATAAGTTTATCAGTAAGATAAAGATGAATCGTCCTGTAATCTAATCTAGTTAGTCAAAAATTATTACGATTTTTATATAACATCAGTCATTACCAACTATTGTGTTTCCATTAAAGCGGTAAAAAGAGGTCATTCTCCTACGACTTCGTTACTATGGGTTACGCTCTTTTGGTGTGTTTACCCCCCTTAGTTGTTACGTGATTCATGTTTGATTGTCATGCATTTAAAGACAATGTAAACAGGCGCTGATATCAGATTAGCAATTAAAAGATTTCGTACAAAATTATTGGCCCAGTTACATTTTATTAAAAAGAACATTGAACGTAAAGGTACCCAGAATAAAATTTCAGTCACAAAAATGTATTGATGGCCAAAAATGTATCAATAAAGATAGGCATTTGTTTTCATCCTGATATTTAAAGATGAAAATAGTTTTTTTAAAAAGATAAAATTTCAATTAGAATTTCGAAAGTATTAATTCTCAACGAACTAAATTCTGCCATTATTTTCAGAAACTGCCATTTAAGCTGTATAAGTTTCATTAACGACAACTTTTTATGACTTTCGAAATAGAAAGAATGTTTACTCAGAAAGTATAAGAAAAGGTATATAGGACCAATCTTCGCATAATTTTTCATATCACAGTTTCACTGCCTTTCAATGTATGACTGAAAACTTCAGTTTAGGTTACATATGCAAAAGGGCCCACCAACTGCTGAGTGGTTAAAACCGATGTATACTGAGACCTCAGCCCAGACGAGAGAGCTGGCTCCATGGTTGGCTTTCGTGGTTTTCACAAATGAGAAATGTACATACGAGTCAATTTTCCTTCGAAAGTCCTCCGCCAAGGCATCCCTCCTTTTAGGCAGACAGCCTCTAGTGAGCTTTGTATTAACTAGCTCTAGTGAGCTTCCATTAACCTAACCTAGGTAAAATATTGCCTTACTCTTTTTTTAAACCCAGCGTTTATAAAGATCGAAAACACGAAAACATGTTGTTTTCAATCGTCAGATAATTTTCTTATCCTCCCTATTATAAAAATGCGTTATTCATCACTATAGGGAAGAAAATAATTTAAGAAGCTATTTTATCTGTATTTTAATAGCATTTTATAACAAGTGTTATACCCATATGATACGTTTCTGATACTACTATAATATTCCAATTGCGAAATTTCTACCTCTAATTCTCCTATGCAATACCATCTGCAAACCAAATAAAATCTAACGGTGGAGGTGATTTTTTTTTTTTTTTTTTTTTTTTTTTTTTCCAGTAACGTGCGCTATTTCGCGTTTAAAAAAGAAATGCAGAAACAAACATCGGAACTTTTAAAACTGAAATTCTTCTTGAGTTCAATTTACTTCTCTCCAACAGTAAAGATTGGTTTCACGAGTTGGTAACAATGGATGCAATTTTTAATTACGAACCCAAGAGAAATATTCGCATGATTTTTAAAAAAATTTTATGATTATTTTTGTCTTTTCAGTTTTTTTTTTTTTTTTAAATTAATCATACACTCTTCCTTGAAGTGGCACTATAATATGAGTTTTTTTTAGATTAAAAGTTATCTTCTCTCTCTTTTTCCTACTTTTTTTTAAGACTTCGCGATCTTTAACTTATGGCAGTGAAAATGCTCTACACAAATAAAAGAATTTGCTCTATATGAAGAATATATCAAGAATAAAAGACCAGTGCATGTTCTACCAAAAAATAAATAAGTAAATAAAAGAGAAAGAGACTGAAGAAAAACCAACTTCGCAGTCACAGACTTGCTAATCAGTGTGATTCAACAAGTCCCCGTATAAAACCACTTGATTAACAAGTGTACAGGAAAAGCAGTGCCTCTCATTTCCTTTACAAAGACCATTGACTGCTGGTAGCACATAAGAACGGCTGAATGAATATTATTTCTGTGAGTTATAAAAGACTAAAACTAATCAACATTTAGTTTTGCTAAAATTAAAGAACCTGTACTCTCTCTAGTGTGTTATTTTGTCTGACACTTTACTTACCTTGTCACCTTTAAACTACTTTTATACATGTGCGTGTATTGTGAACGACGAATGAGAAATGAAATGTTACCAAAGAAAAATTTGTGTTACACTTTCGATTCTCATAATTTTTTATCTTAGCCCTTTCTTGAAATCTATATTACACATTGCTGGAATTTATATTATCTGCTACATTCAGCCTTGTTAATAAACAATAAATGTAATTATAAACCATAGAAATATCACTTTAAAATTAAATCTACGGTTTAATCTATCAGGACTACTACCAAATGCTATTTTAAAATCCATAATTCAGTAAATACAGCTTATGACCATTTGTCAATTTAACGCAAATTACATTTCAACGAAGCATTTGTAAAGGATCGGTATGACAGTCTGAATCATAAAATAATTCATTTCGTTCAGTCACACCGAGAGTAGGTAGGTATTCGTTTTATCTATATATATTGCAATTTCTTTGCTGATACTTTGACATCACAAAGCATTTATATTTTACAAAATAATAGCATATTTTTTAATGCCATCAAGTTCCAAATGTTGATTGAAAAAAAATAATAATAATTAAAAAAAAAAAACGGTAACAAACAAATAAGCACAACCAATAGTTTTATAGGCGAAATGTTTGACTAAATTATTTAATATACTATGAAACAAGTATTTTTCTGGATTGTATTTTCTACATATATTTATAATTCTTTAAACCTAGTTCGAAAAAAACTAAGTAAAATAAAAAACATGAACAAAAAATAAATAAATAAATAAATAAAATTCAAGCAACGGTGAAGGCTTGAATACTTTTATTAACGGCAGTTAATAAATCGAAGTTCATAAGAAGAACCTTTCAAAAAATAATAAATTTTACGAAATAAAGAGGAAAAAGATTATGACAAAATCACATTTGGAGGAAAATGATTAATTATTCTTCAAAATATACCAGGGGAATTGAAAGAAAAACATAAAGAACTCATGCATTCAAGTATATAATAACTCAAACATATGTAACTAAAGATATGAATTGTATTTACACATTGCACATACTTTGCAGGAGACAGGGAGAAATTAAAAAATTTACTATAGAAAACTAATTCTTTGTAAATATATTCATAAGTTATCTTCCCCGATGCTGTAACTAACAACTGTTTGTCAATAAAAACTGTGATTTTTTATTAGGATTACGAAACTGAGATTCGCAAATTATTTCCTAAGTTTTATTTTGCAATATTTTCTATGAAATTTGACGCTTGCCAGAGTTGATTTGAAATAAACATTTCCAGAGTTCTTAAACACATTGAAATTTACGCAGGAAGGAAAGCAGTGCTGATACTCTATGATTTCTGTACTCATTAAAATTCTCACGCGCAATGCAGTTTTAAAAACAAACGTAATCACATTTTTCTTTGACACTTGAAAAAGAGACGCTAAAAATGGGAGGAAAAATCTCTCACCTCGCAAGTTTTGGCGTCAGTACCATCTTTCTCTTGAGGTGCGGTTCGCTGGAGCATCTTCCTGCTGTGACAGGATCTGTAGCGTTCCCTTGCTCCTCGACGGAGCGGCACCCAGGGTCAATCTCGATGTCAGAGTCGATTCCACGATCAAAACCCATGTACGAGGATTCTTTCGATTCAACCGAATAGTCGGTTGTTATCATTTTCTATCGCTGGTTTCTTGCTGTCACCGGCAGACATTGTCAAACATTTGAGTTGACAACTTCGAATGCCATGATTTTGATCGGCAGAAAGCAACGCTGCTTCGCTCGCTCTGTTTGAAAACCGAAGAGCTGCACGTGTTGTTGTTCAGTAGGGTTACCGGTGGAAAGGGATTTGGCGGGTTTTTAGGGTTGGAATTCAGCCAAAATATTTCCCACAACTGTCAAACTCCTCACCATTGATTCAAAGTGAAGCTCGGTTTAGCGTTTACCGCGCATGCTCCCCTCTTCCTCTCTGATTTGACTTTTAGGTAAATAATATTATTTGAAATGGAGAAATACAATTTATAGGAAACACAATTTCCTCCGTTTTTGGCACGCTTTTGCCTTTTAGGAAAATTGTAGTTCGCAGGCACAGATTCGAATGAAATAATTTATCACTAATAAACGGATTTACTCTTTTTGTCCGCCGCCACACGAACGAAAACATTTTGACCTTTCTGAATACAAAATAAAAGTAAAAAATGCATAGCACGTAAGTCTTTTGGTGGATTTTCACAAAAGAGACAAAATAGTTAAATTACTAATATGCTCATGTAACTGAAATCTGTAAGGATGATACTTCTTTTTTGCATAGAAGATAACGCAGAATATGGTAAACTAATGTTACTTTTGAGAAACTCGCCTTTTAACTTCCATGCTATGTTTAAAAAACCACTAATTTACAAAACATTTAAACTCGATTTACTATATTAAGTAATGTATGGAAATATTTCCTTCTGTTGTTAAAAAACCCAAAATTAATAGTGAACAAGAGAAGTATTAAACCATGTAGGTAATACACAAGTTTATATAAAAATCAGAAATATTGTTAACTCTTGCAGTTAGTTATGTCTTTTTTTTTTTTTTTATATATATTAGGTGTCGTTTTCTATAACTAAAAACTACAAACTAACAGTAATCACCGGTCGTAATTGGATCTTATCTAACTTAGATATCTTTGCTCCAATTTCTGATCCTCCTAATGGAATCTTTCGAATGAATTCGGTCAGTCTCGGCCAAATCTTCTTAGGTAAAATGTTCAAGTGAGAATGTTGAAAACGAATTTTCACAGGTAGTTGTACGTAGTTTTCTGTTTGTTTTTTTTTTCTCAGAAATGCACACACCACTTCCCTAAAAAGACCGCAGATTCATCATCATTTAACCTCTTATGAAAACTGTTATTTTGTATGAGTTTTTGAATTTACTGATCGAGAATATTCTGCGCATCGTTTTCGTATAATTAAGCGCTGGAAACTAATTCCTGAAGTACGCAAAATCTTCTCCATTCTTGACCCTGGCCTTAATATTTTTTTTAATTAAACCTAATTTTATATACTGATGTGATAGCAGTTGCTTGATTTGAATTTACTAGTGGAGCATACCTAATATTACTAACTCTAAACAGCCCTAGTGGGCCACGGCCAGCAGTGCCCCGAAATCTGCTATCTTGACCTCGGGTCCCGGAGTGCGTCAGCATATGCCCTGGACAAGTGGTCAGCTTAACGCAAGACCCCCGGTGTTTAGTTTCCAAGCGAACTTGGTACTCATTTATCGACCCACTCAAGGGATGAAAGGCTAAGTCAACCTTGCCCAGCGCGGAGATCGAGCCCCCGACCTGTAGTGCAGCCGCGCGACGCGGTAGCCACTACGCCACCGGGCCTCACCTAATATTATGATATCTTTAAAATTATACGCGCAGGAGCTTTATATCGCAAATTATTTTTCTAAACCCAAGCCGTCAGGGAATGTGAACGAAAAACAAAATTTGTCTCCAGCTGAAACTACGAATTTGACTTAAAAAACTGAGAAGTGCCGGCTAAATTTAAGCTTTAACAACTCACAAGTTTGCCACCTCTATCAAATTATGTCTAAAACCAGAAACAAACCCTTATAAGTTTTCTTCAACTTTACGGAATGCTCTGGTATGAATGATTTCGTATTTTCGCAGGGCAATAGTCTTGCTTTAATGCTTAAATTAGATGAATTTAGGAACGACCTCCATTTTGCAGAAATGTCTTGATAATCTAGCTTTCTTGTTGTAGTTACTTACTTCAATTTTCGTATAATTAACCTAATCAGAACAAGTCACGATCGGTCTGACCTAATCAGAACAAGATACATTTGTCTGACCTAATCAGAACAAGTCCATGAAGTTTATCACGACAAAGAGCGCAAGATGGCATCTGTCGCTGGCATAGGCTTTGAATACCATGACCCTGAATACATGACAGTACGACCAAAGGTCTTCTTTCTGTCTTCTGCTATCCGCAAATCACTCGAGAGGACGTTCGGCTGGGTGTGTATTTTGAATTTCTTCATGACGCACAGACACTATACTCTTACAAACATCTATGATTCGAACCCGAATCAACGAACGATACGATAACCTGAAACTCTAACCACTAATCAATCGGGGCTTTCTCGTTAAAACATCTTTATTTTCTTAATCTAGTTTTCCAGTTAAGCCACCTTTGTTTTCTTCTAACCAATCCCTTCTAAGGTTATGAAACTTTCCACATTTATTGCGCACGAAATATAATAGTTCCACAGCAGAGAGAGCCAAACTTCTGAAAGAATGGAATTTCCTTGGGAAATTTTGTAGCCAAACTTCACCAGTTTTCTCTTATTTAGGTTACACTATGTTTCATGCTCCAATAATTTAAAGCGTTTGAAAATACATTTTGTAACAAACGAAACAAGGTATGATTTATTACTTACTAGCCGCTATGCGGCCAGCTTTCCTCTGGCTTTTAAACATACCGGAAAAATACCTAAAGGGACACCAAACATTAGATTTAAAAACTGCACAAAATTTTAGAGAGATAGATAGAAAGAAAAAGACCCACAAATTTCAATAAAAATTTATTAAATATAAAAAAAACTACAATGAAATAAGCAATATCCCTTAATACAAATATTAATTATACTAATAAATAAATTAATCAACTTCCCGTTGCCTTCGCACGACAAAAGTCCAGTATCCAAAAGAAACATTAAATTTATAAACTGCGCAGAATTATCGCCTTCATTTTTCAGAGTGGCAACAGTGCTGATATCAGCAACAATGGCAACAGTGGATATATCGGCAACAATGGCTGCGTGCCATTGTTGCTGATATAATGAGGCAGGATTATCGATTTGATGCGATTTCATCAAAAAAAACCTAAAATAAAAGAAAACCTCATTCCAATTTTGAAAAAATCTTTTCGAGGTGCACTGGCTCTTGTATGTGCAATTGTGTTACCTATTTCACCTATATACCAAAATTCGTAGCCCTGGTTTTATTAGCTTACGCGCAGCACAAATGGAAGACACACACACACATAGACAGAGTCTTCCTTTTATATGTATAGATAGGGCTTATTTTCTAAAAGTAGAAGTGCCAGAGCCCTATGGAAAACCGTCATGAAAGAGGAACAAGAGTAAATAAATAAATAACTACTAAAAACCATTAATAAGTTTAAAAATTAAATAGTTAATGAGTATCAAATTAATTAATAGTTAATATGTATTAATTATTATTAAATTGATTCCTAATTAATTAATTATTATTATTAAAAACTTAAAGGCTAAAGTAATTAAGTAATTAAAATTAATAAAATGTAAAGAGATAAATTAAATTTAATAAGTAATTTTTTATATAATTTTATAGCTAAAAATAAAATTTTCGAGATCAAATTTCTACTGAAATAATTATTCAGTTACATAAAAAAAGTGCTGGAGACTTCTTATTTAGGGCTCCGGTTCGCTTCGGCTAGAATTAGATTGTGTCCCAAAAACTAAGAAGTACCAGAGCCGGGCTCAGGTGGACTCCAGCACAATTTAAGCTCTGTATACAGATGATAAATCCTGTAGCAGAAGCATGCAATTATGTAAACACATTTAATTTTCTTTAATGGTACCGCGGTATGAAAAAAAAATTATTTAAATGGTTTATTGTAAAATGGTGAGCAATAGAATATTTTTATGCTCATACCCTTCAATAGCATGTAAAAATTGACTTACGTTGCCTATTTTCATTCTTATAGGAAAATATAGCTTAACTTATATTTTAATTTACAGTTTTCTTATTTAAGAACGATACTTATTCTTGCAAAAACCACTTTTCTGTCGTTAAATTCGAATGGAGTATACAAACTAAATTATATTTTAATGGTAGAATATGCACTGATCATGTACACAGTGCTTGTACGTGTGTCCCTTAACGTGTGGGCCAGCTGAGTACTTGCTTGGAAGGCCCATGAGCATAGCGGGCCCATGCTAATCCGTACACATTTAATTTCCATTGAAATTCTGTGAGTTGCTGTAGTAGGGGCTCAGCACAATGGTTTGTGCATGTGCCCATCATGCTATTAAGGCGGCTCTGATTATGTGCAGTTTTTTTTTTTTTTTTTTTTTGTCAGTTTAACTGATTTCGAATGGACTAATCGAATATGAAAATAACAGACATTTGAATGTATGAACCGTGTTATATATATTTCATATTTCGCGTATTCAAGACTTTAAAATATAATATTTATGTAAATATATTCTTGTTAAGAAAAGAGCTTAAACTAGTTAAAATATCTAAATTATTTTTATTTCCTGTATCTCATTGTAAAATATGAGATAATTATCTTGTTTTGTGTAATACTTAGGCAAAGCCTGATGTTTATTAAAATTTCTTTTAAATCTTTTTATAAGCAGTTTCATCATATCTTACCATAGCTATTAAATTTTTTTAAATTTATTTTTATTTTTATTTTTATTTGTCAAATGCCAGTTGCATTGGTAGTTAGGCCATCAAACTCCTTGCTTGCCAATAGCGCTGAAATCTACAAGAAAAATTTGTCAGTGCTTCACACTCGTCCAAATGTTCCGACAGTCATGTCCCGTCAATAGTCTAAAAGATGCAACCGCAACTGTTCGCGGGTGCTCAGGAACAAAAGCTGGGTTTGTTGAGAGAACACTCCAAGGCTTGCCCTCACAAAGCCCGAGTGGCAAAATCTCTAAAAGTCTTTTGACATGTTGGCGATGTCAGAAGCTTAATAGAAGGGAGGCTTGCACTCGTTTTTGGCTTTTGGAGAACAGTACCCCCCTTTTTCGCAAGCATATCAGCCATCACATTCCCATAAATACCGCAGTGGGAAGGTACCCATTGAAAAGATATCTTGAGGGAAAGTTCTTTTATAACTTCCTGACACTGTTTAACACAAATGTTCTTACACTCTTGGTAAGAGGAGATGGCCTGTAATGCTGAAGTCGAATCAGGCAATACAACAACCCTCCCGAACGAGCTCTGTCTCAATGATAATTGTTGGAGAGCTACATGAATGGCTTTCAGTTCTCCATCAAAGTGAGTGGAGTAACCCCCTACAGGTATGTAGAAACTGAAAAGCTTGCTAAAAACTCCAGCACCAGCCACCTGAATCCTATCGGTCAAACAGCCATCCGTATATACATGTATCCATTCCTCAACCGGAAAACGTTGCTTAATTGTTTCGAAAGCTATAGTTCTTAGTTGTTCTGGACTCATTTCCTTCTTATCTACTTTCATTTCCAGGTCCAACCGCACATCAAAGAAGCTATAATCCAAAGGATATAGCAATAAACAGCAGTACGGTTTTAGTGTTCTTATATGATTGTATTGTTCTAGGCGAGAGACACACAGCAGAAAGCCATTTTGTGTCTTCAGATTTCGTTGTTTATTATAATCATAATTCCTCCAATGAGGGTTACTTGGTAGACGAATAAGTCTCTGGAAAAGGATGAAAGCACTTTTCTGAATCAGGTTTGTCATTGGTTGGTTTGCCGATACCAAATGCATTGCCAGAATGGGAGTCGTTTTAAAAGCCCCGGTTATAATGCCCAGTGCCTGATTTTGGAAGACCTCCAGAAGTTGTATCACATCTCGCGTAGCCGAGATCAGTATCTCACAGCAATAATTTAGTATTGGTCGAATATACATTTCATACTTCGAGTTGAGAGTCTCTCTACCACAGCCCCATTTAACACCTGCTAAGCGTTTAAGGATAGGTATCTTGTGGGAAAGGTAAGGATAGGTAATCTACGCCCGCCTTAGCAACTACATGCTTTCTCCAGGTTAAGCGCTTGTCAAAAATACAGCCAAAATAGGTGGCACCATCCGTCTTCTGCAAACCGACTTTTCATACATTAGTCTAGGAGTAAAGTGTTGTCTGTTGAGAGAGAAAAACTGACAAGTAGTCTTCCCCTGATTAACTCTCATATTATTAGCAGAACACCATTCCTCAAGTCTCTGGAGCGCAGAGTTTATGATTCGGTTTAAACCATCTTGATCTTTTTTGTTAGCTCTGGCCCATACGACAAGATCATCGGCAAAAAGGGCAGTGGTCACGATCCCATTTGATTCTAAGATGTCTGGTAGCTCGTTAATAAAAATGTTAAAGAGAATAGGACCCTGAGGCAAACTCGTTCCAACTTGTTTATATTTTGAAGTGCTGGTGCCATAACAAGTAGCACAAAAACTTTGGGTCAAGAAATGTTTTACCCAAAGGAACATTTTTCCGCCAACACCGAATGTCTGACGTTTTTGAACAGCCTTTAATCTCTAAACGTTATCATAAGCTGATTGGAAATCTATATAAACAGCCAATACCGAATTTCGTTCATCAAGAGCATCTTTAATTGACTGGCTTAAGAATACCACTTGTTGACTTGTAGAATGGTAATTTCTAAATTCCGCTTGTTTGGAAGTTGGGTTTTGTTTGGGGTGTAGTGTGACAGGCCTCCTCGTGGTGCACCCTGGGTTACGCTAAATCTGCTACAACATTGCCGCTTGTTGATGGCTCCTAGCTATTAAAATAATTCCCAAATATTTAAATATATAATGCGTTATGGGAAGTGAAGAATGCCCTGCCAAGACCTCATAATTTTGATTGTTGAAAGCTATACGTATTGATACATTTAAGTTTAATTTTGCTTAACACGTTATTTCTTATGCTAAATAAATCTTTCCTGCATTTTCCAATGTCCTTCACCTCCACCAGAAATGCAAATTAAATTAGTTTAAATAACGAGCGAGAATCTAAGTTGAGAGAGAGAGAGTGATCTTTGAAATCCTACCTCATTGCTGGATTTATTTTGGTTTTGGATTTTGCCTGTAGCTGCACTAAAAAACGCGTTAGCATAGGAGTCTTGTTGTTAGTCTCGAATGAGATATATACTTCATAAAGAATTGGAATATTGTGTTTCATTATCAGTTCGCAAAAAGCGGATGTTAGTTTCTGTGACTGTTTTGTAAAATTTCAAGTCGAAAAGCAAAGAATTGTTTTAGTCGATTTCACGATTTGCTGTAATCACTCTGTGTTATTAGATTCTAGGTTGAAGAAAATATAGGAAGATTGCCCTGTATTTAAATTAAATGTAAATTAAGATGCAACCCTACATTTAAAATCAGGGGGGCAGAAAAGAGATTGCTGTACAACCTTTGAGCTGGCAAACACTTTAAAGAAATCATTAGGAAAATGTAACTACAAGCAAACAGTTAAAAAAGGTACAAAGAAATCACGAATTCTCTCACCAGTGATGGGTCTTTCTGCCTCTTATCCATGATGATTTTTTTACATGTATTGTAAGGAAGCTGCATTATTTTTTGCTAACTAGTTATTTTATGTTTTGTATCTTTACTGTCATTTCTGGTTTCCGTTTCCCTACCGGAATGTAAATGGGATAGAAAGAGATAGTATTTAAAGGAAGGTTTTAGATTGCTTAGATAGAGCATGTTTTGCCTGCTGAAGGCCACGTTACTGGTTTGCTATTTTGAGATAAACGTTCCTGTCTACGCCATTATTCTTGTTGATGGTATTTTTTCACGTCTGTGTAGGTTAAAGGGCCAATTTTTGAGTTAAATATCTCTACACGACCTTTTAGCTAATTTCTGCTTAGTTTAAAAATTTGAAACTTTTATGTTGATTTATGGCCGTAAATACTGGCTGAGCACCAGGAGTGCCTTGTGTTATACAATTTGAGTTTAATAAAAGTCTCTACCCAGAGTCTTAGTTAAGAGTTTAGTTAGTGTGCATGATAGCAAAACACATTAAACTCTATAGCATTAAGAGGACAGCAACCCCTAATAGTCAAGCAACTAACTGACAATGAATTCATAGGCATGTTTAAAAGGATAAAAAGGTACGAAGACTTTGCTCAAGATGATACTTCGGATAAGAAAGACTTAATTCAATATGACGCTTCGGAATGGATAAAAGTAGAAAACAGTAAATCAGGTTTTTAAGTTTCGAATAACGAAAAGTCATCAGTTCGTGAATGCGGAGAACAGTAAAAGTTCCATGAGAGTGATGGCGATGATTACGACGAAATGGAAAAGGACAGAATGAAAAGTAGCTGTGCTGAAGCCTTGAGAAAAGCTCTTTAAAGAGCAAAGCTCTCTTAGAGCAACATCTTGACGTTTCTGCTGCAAATCTTTTGTTAATTAAGAATGAAGTGATCGTGCGACGGCTGAAAGGTATAGGGGCTATCAATATGAAAGGGATAACCGACTTTTTCAAAAAGAAAAAATGAAGAAAGAAAATTATCTCGTTAAAATGCAGGTAGAAATTTTACAAAATTTCGTGATGGGCATGAATTTTGATGGAGTTTATTTATTCCAGGATTTTTGAGAACATTTTTGCAGCAAAATAAAATCTTGTAACGATTATTTTTATTAACAGAAGGCAGAAAATTTCATTTGCTAATAAAAAGGTTTATTCAAATATTGATATCAATACTTGTGCACTTATGTTTAGAATTTCAAACAAAAATTTTTAAGAAACTTGTATGATTTAAAATTTAGTTTTTATGAACCTAGTTTTCAATTATCTGAGGTGGTTTCGGTTATTTGGATAATGGAAATTCTGTACTTCTGCCGATTTCTTTTCACTTCCAGGCAATTCTTCCCCTGCTGTTATAGTTATTGAAATTAGTTATTAAAATGTTTCACTTTTTGCACCGTTGGGATGGATTCAAACTTTCGTGTTTTACTTTTCTGTATATATAAATTGATCATAAACTTGAAGAGCAATGTGTTTTGCATCAATGGTACTTCAAAAGAAATCAACTCGTCTAATTAAACTGATGAAGACGTTATGCTGTCTTCGCTAAGCAAAAGGGAAGGATCTCATGATTTATTAATTTACTTTTATTTAATTTTTCTCATTTATTTTTTAGAACTAAATTGAATTCATTCTAATTACATTAAATGATTCACGAAATGAACTAAATTTAATACATTCTAATTAAATTAAATGATTCACGAAACGAATTAAATTAAATGATATAAATGAAAAGACATTTAATTTAATTTGAGAATCAGATTAAATATATTTTCATTTATATTGCACAACCCTTGTTGTAGTTCCACAAACTGTTCCTCTGGCACGTGCTTCCTGGAATTATATGCCAGGAAAAAATAAAAACTTTGTTTGCAAACAGTTTATTAGAAAATGAAAGGTATACTAATAATTTAAATGTTGAGTTGTTTCAAAGTTACATTTTTAGAGAAATTTCTTTTTCACTTGTAGAGACATTAGGTTATTTGGAAAAGCCGGAGAGATGAAAAGTTAGCAAACACCTTCACCGGGAATCGAATCATGGACCTCTGAAATACCGGCCCAGCGTGCAGAACCACTACACCACGAAGTCGCGCTAGGAATGTGAGAGAAATACCTTATACACTGAAGAAATTAACAGAAACGTGATTGAGTTCATATTTGCAAGCACCAGCAAAATGTGAAAATAAACAAGAATAATTTTATACGGACGTAAAAAAATTATATAAAGTTGCTCATCCATTAAAATCAAATGCATTAAAAAATAATATGTACAGGGTCCTAACTGCGTAATATTAATTCAAAAGTTCTTTAGACCCCAGTAGACTGAAAAGCGAGTTTCTGATATGAATATAGAAAAGTCCTGTGAAAGTTTTAAATAACAGTTTTTTATTTTAATTTAATTGAAATGAAAGGCGCGACTTGCGGGCTTACAAACAAAACTCCGTCATTTACAGATAGTAAGGTAACATAAACTTGAATTTAAGAATATTGTAGCCGGAGACTACACAAATTTGGCCTAAATAAGCTGGCTCAAAACTTTAACGGCTTTATCTCTAAAACATTCAAAACTATCACCTTAAAACGCTTCAGTCTCATTTGTGTCCTATCGAGGGCTAACGTAAAGGAGAAATTTAGAAGAAGCAGTGTAAAGATTGAAATCCTAAAAATTGGTTAAATAACATAAAATACCTTCCTTACATATATTACTCAATTTTTGGAATAAATTCCTTTTTTTAATTCTATTACTATTATCGTTACATCCACTTACAGCATGCTAAGCGTATATCAAACTATACATCAAAAACCAGTTTTCTCGGCATATATCTAAAACGCAAAAAGATCCCCATCTGGGAAAGTCAAGGGGGTCGTGGGTGTAGGGCCCCTCAATACAAGACCGCAACAAGAAGAGGCAGTGTAAAATTCCTCCTTCCTTATAAATGCTTTCAAACTTTCATCTGGAATTCTATTGGTGTGTTGGTGTTGGTGTATTTAATTATGGCAAAGCACATAAGGGCTATCTGCCTAAGAGGAGGGATGCCTTTCGTGGAGGACTTTCTAAGGGAAACTGGCTCGTATACACGTTACACATGGGGAAAACCACGAAAACACCCATGCAGCCAGCCCGTTCGCGGGATTCGAACCTCGGACCGAACTACCAGTGTTCAGCGACTTTACCGCTCGGCCGCTGGTGGGCGGAATTCTATTGAGGGAA